CCAGAGGTCCCTTCCAATCTCAACCATTCTGTGATTCTGTGAAATAGACCTAAATCCTCTGTTGCTTACCAGTGTCGAACCAAGGATGGAAGTACAGGTGTTGGTTGTACTCCCCCTGGTTGGATGTGATCCTAAAGTCCAGAGCTTTAGTTTGTTTTCAAGGACACTGTGTTGCTACCCATCATTCTTTAGCCCCTCTCATATGCACACTGAAGAAGAGGATTTAAGCCCCAACACACTCTCAGGATGATGTTAATAAAAAAAATCTGATAATGAATTTCATTAAAAAGTGGAATCTTACAAAATAGATTAAGTAAAACAACAAATAAATATTACGCCAAGCAGAAATCTGTTTTTCCCACGCTAAGCGAAATGTTCATCAAAGATACATTTTCAACCTTTTTTTTCCCCTTCATATGTTGAAACTACAAATTCTGAACAAGCTCGTGCAAGTAGTTGTTGGGTTCAGTTTCTTTGCGATGGAAACTTGACTAGGATTTTTCTTTGTATGCTGTAAAACTTTTAAATACTTGCTTAGAATATTTTGCACAAACATCTAATGGCAGAACTTTTGAGTCACAGTTCATTCTGTAGCAATGACATGAAAACGGGCATGTGCAGTATAAATATAAGGCATGCTAAAGGATCAAAGACAAGATATTGTTCAGTGAGTTGCACTGCAGATTGAAAGCATTGACTCATACAGGCAGTCACTTAAATGTCTTTAAAAGAATCTTGAATTTATAACTGAGGCCTTCTTATAGTCATTCAGTTCATTAAATAATTTCATTAAAAAGGAACAAATAGCAACCGGAAGTGGCCACTGATAGAGATTATACTCACTCTGGTTGTGATGTGGCTTTATTATGAAGATTAACTTGGTAATCACCAACTTATATTTAGTGATGGGCCCAGCTGTTGTATTCACCTATAGTATCTCTGTATACAGGTCTACTGATCTTAAGGGCTCGTACTGTCATGCTTGCTATCATTACCTGACAGTAGGGAACAGAAGCAGCCTTGCTCTCCTACAATACACTCAGTAGCATGGGGTTGCTCAAACTTTCCTGTGACATTGGAAAGTTGCAATCCCAATAGGAATTGGGTAGCCTGTAAGGTCTCCCAGGGAAATCTTTGCTAGAGAAAAGGTTCTCCACAGAGAGGGAGCTTGTGAAGCTTCCCAGGAAAAGGCAGGCTGTGCCACCAGAGACTGATGTGCAGGTAGACAGGGTCTAAGCCAAGAGCCACAGGAGCTACCTGTCAGGAGCGTGCAGTTTCCACTGATGCATCCTAGAAGGATTTTGAGTTGCTGATCCTGTAACACAGGGGTGTGGCTGAGGGGGAGAGCTGGAGTAGAAAGGAAGCAAGGCTGTAACCTCATTACAGAAAAAGAAATGCATCTTCCACTTATAAAATGATGCTTTCATACAGAGGGATTCTGCTGATATTCTTGCCTACGTGTTCTGCACAGCCAGGGCATGCTACACTTTTCTGATTAAAAACAGTGTTAGCTGATGTGTGAGGACTTTTTTGGCCCACAGGTGTTACTGTCTTCTAGACTTTTACCAAGGAAGAGATCTAGTCAGGGGCCCAGGCCCCATTTAAATCAAGGGGAATCACTCTATTGTGTAAGGATTCTCCTAAATAGACATGAACAGGCAAATACTCTGCCATGGAAGTGATGTGTGTTTTAGCTAGTAGTCTCTTCAAAAATCTGTCATTGCTTTTTGACTTGTGACATAAATAAGGCAGAAACCAATGAGCAGATTTGGACTGATAACATCCAGAGTCCTTTCAAACTGGGAGAAAAGTATCATTTTCTTCATGCTCAATAGCCTCTGATCTTCCTAAAATGGTCCATATCTGTTCTGCATGCCAACAAAACAGTGTCAAATACTGAATACTCCAAACTACTCACCATTGAATCAGAGGGGGAGGATCGATCTCCTAAGAAAACTCTTAAGTTGGGAGCAAACTAGCTTCCTTCCATTTCAATCTCATTGCTGCAGTGATCCACTTGTATAAGGATGAGATACAGTGCTGTTTACTAATATTGCTTGCATCTGGCCATTGCTATTAAGGCATCAGCAAATAACATCATTCAAAGACATTGAGCTGACATTAGAAAGTTCTGGTTTTCAGCCTAAAACTCAGTTCAAAACTTGCTTTTCTGTGAGGCTTCACAGCTCAACATTTAGAGATATCCTCTCTACAGCACACTTGTTGGGCCAGAGCTATAATGAATTTATTGTCACTCTTTGTCTGTTACTCATCCAAAGAAGATTAAATCTTGACAATAAAAGATATTGCCATTGATTGAATTTCTCAAGGCAATTGGCAGATGGGGTGGGAGCTGAACAAAGCTCTTCATACAGTATCAGTGTAAGGATTAGGCCAACTTCTTTTCCTGGTGTATGGTTATACCAAACTGTTGGTGGCTGTGTGCTGTTCCATATATGCTCACTCCCAGGAGCAACAGGGAAATTGTGCGAATGATGACCTAATGAAGCTGGTGATAGCAAGCTGTACAAGGTTGAAAAACCACTGTCCAAAAAGCAGTTGTTTAGCAGCTTCCTCCCACAGCCTCAGTGAACATGCCAAAACTTATTCATGTGTAGTCATGTGTCTGACTTTTTAATCCAAAGTATGCAAAAGATTTAGTCTCATCACAAGCTCTTATGGGTGGGAAGGAGCTAACGCTATTGCACACCACATCAGAATTCAGATGCGGCTGTACTGCTACTACACGAAAGGTGTCCTCCATGGAAACCAGACTTTACTGCTCTGATAAATTCCACTCCTTAAAAAAAGAAAAAGTCAAAAAATTAAACACCCTTACCCACCTAATTTGTTGCAATGACTTGTATGTGGGATCAGTGCTCTATACCATAAAGCTGCTTTTGCCCTTCGGTAAAAAATGTTTTACATATAGATTATCAACATTTTTTTCCAGACCAAAGGAATAGGAATTTAGGTTAATTTAATAGAAAAAATAAAATATGGAATAACATTGATTTTGGCCAGTATCAATTACAACAGAACTACCCTATTTTACAAATAACAACTGAACATTTTACACATGTACAGTATTTTTTCAGTAAAAATGAATTTGGATTTAACAATGTGTCAGTTTTTTAAAAGAAAACAAAGATATTAATTTCTTCTCTATAATAGTGTTAGAGGCATTTGTAAGTATCCAAACAAATTCTTTACAATCCATTACATAATTAAATCTCAATTATGAATATATATTTATATATAATATATATAATATTAACTTAAACTTTGAAAGCATTATGTTCTAGTTAATAATTTTATATTGAGAAATGAGGCAGTAACAGACTAGTAGTTAAACTAGCACAAATTATATTCTCATAACTTTGAATGTTTATCAGGAAATTTGTAATGGGCACCAAAAGAGTTTCACAGGTTCTCCTCTCATACAGAACCAGGTGTGGGTTGTAATAATTTATCTGCTGTCTGGCAAAAGGAGCATATTATCTCTTATAGGTTCATATCCATTCATTTGTAAACCTTCCACAAGCATTTTTGTATATAAAAAAGAGAGTCTCTTTATTTTCTAACATTTATACGCTTAAATACCAGCAATCCATTTTCTACTTGTGTGTCCTGGAAAGATAACTGAGAGAGACACTTTGTACATTTTAAGTATTTTCCTCCCAAAACAGTATATTTGAAGTTCAATTTGCTGTCTTCTGCTAGATGAATGGCTTTCAAACAGTATGCTAAGAGAAGCTGATGAAAATATATTAAATGGAAATTTGAACGGACAGCTGTGTACCTGGGTACAGAGAGAAATACAGGGGCCTGCTTCTCTTCCCACCTAGACTGGTTTTACAGTGAGGTAAGTCCATTGGCTTTGGCAGGATTATTCCTCCTGAAATTTGTATTGCGAGTGGTTAAAAGCAGATTCAGGCCCATCATGACAAGATTGTTACACCAAGAAAACCTTTGATTTATTGACCTATATGTAATTACTCCCAGAGACGTATTTAGCACAGTGTTATAAGCTCGCTTGTAAATCCAGTCCTGTAAACACATCCTGTAACATATAGTCACGCAGGCATTTCTGTATGAGCGCTACTACTAGCCCCATGTTTGCAGGATCAGGTCCCCTGTTTTGTGAACATTACAGGATAACAATAATTTATGAATACTCCTTACATGTTACCAATGTTTTCTGATTTCCGAGCATATACATTACTCTTGTTTATGCAAACCAAGAGGAGTAGTATCTTTTGCATCTGTTCACAACAGGAACAATGGTATTCTTTTAAAGTTTATTTGAAATAGTTTTGACAATTTAAAAAAATAAAATAAAAATCCCAGCATATCTGTTAATAAGCTAGCTGTCTAAAAATGAGATCTATATGACCAAAAAAACATTTTGGGCAAAACATATATACATACTGCATGTGATACATAAAACAGCACACAGCAGAGGAAGTAAGAAAGAAATGTGTGCAGAAATGATCACTCTTCTTTTTTTTTTTTTTAATACTGTTACAAAAGGTGCAGAACTTAGTCCTGCAGCTGATGTTTCTGATTCCCTCAGGGACTCATTTCCTCAAGTTGCTCCTATCTCTATACATAGCACAAAAAAGACTGATGCAAACATTTTTGTATTGTTTAGTTTTAATCCATGTAAACGTGTGGTGTATTCTTGAAACACTCTTTAAACATCTTGAAGGGGAAACAAGCAGGAAAAAAAGGGAAGAAAAAGGACCTTCAAAAAACAGGAATAATCCTAAGGTTGACAGGAAATCAAATCATGAGTTAAATGTTAATTTTGGCATCAAATGCTTTGGTCACACAATATTGACTCTGTGATCCTGGATGCTTAGCTCTAAACACCCAGTTATGAAAGGTAGGTGTGTTGTAGTTTTTTCCATTTAAGTCCCAACAAACAGTTCACCATCTCCCCAGACAAAGAGGAGGGAGAGAGAGAGAGAGAGGTGGCTTGCTTTTTTTTTTTTTGATTTTTTTTCCTTTTTCAATAATATGGATTAATCTATAAGTCTACAGGAGCAAGAGGACTCTGGGAGGTGTCAGCTCACCCCTTGTGCGTACATGTTCTGCAACACAGTTGCTGAAGCACTTTCCGCTGGCAGAGATTGTTCTTTTTCACCAGCATACAGAATCCGCCCTCGGCCCAAGACTCTTCCGTGGCTTCCGGAGGGCGGCAGTAAGAGAATGAGGGGAAGTTGCAGATTTGGAGAGCATGGTGTGGACAATGGAGGAAGGTTTAATTGGTCAGACAGGCAGATTTGGTTGAAGAGACCATTCAGGAGCAGGTAGCAAGGAGGAAATTTGGTCCATCAAAAGGAATTTCAGTCAACAGCATTTTTTTTTCAGGAAGAGATATTGCGTGGTCCAACAGGGAATGATTGGTATCCATTTGTGAAAGGGGAAAAAAAGATTAGAAAGAGAATAATTAGAAAACAGTGATATTTACAGCAAAGGATTTTTTTTATCAGTTTTTATGAATCAAAAGAATAAAACAGTCAAATCACAGAAAAAGAATAAAACATTCTCAACAGAAATGCAAATCCTACAGAACAGGTTAGACATGTAACCAGTGCTCGGTTGTCAGGCAGTGAAATGAGACCCTCCGCACCTGGTAACTTACAGAAAAAAAGACTTATTTTCCTCCACTACTCTAGACTGTGGAGAACATGTGCCACATGGTGGGCTCTAGTATGGTGCTTCCTTCCCATGGCAATTGGGCAGGGCAGAGTCAGGGAAACAGCAGTGAGATGGGGCATTCTCATCCTTGGGCAGCTATGTGTGGATCCAAAGTGAACACCCAGGCTCATGAGTGGAGAAGTACTGCTGGGTGGCACAATTTATGTACAACCTCTCTGTCTTGGATGCACTAATAAAAATGTTCAGTGCACAGGACTTCCTCAGAGATCTCAACTCTGCTCAAGATTAAGTAGTTTTGTAAGACATCAGTGAACCCTATTTCTGTGCATTTTGCTCTAATGTTGCTTCCTAGCTGAATTCATGCTCATCAATAGTATGTATGCTGGAGAAAGAGCAGAGCATTGGTTTGTATGTGGAAAAAAAAAGCATTATCTGAAGTTTCAAAGATAAAGGTGGGAATTTCAAGCACATGAAATTCCTTTGCCTGAGCTATTTCTGCTCTACATAAACCAAGAAAGTAACTTCCACCCTCAGTGATACTTCCTCCTGCAAACTCGAGTCACTTGAGGTTGCATGTGTACAGATGAGGATGGCTTTATCCTAGCATATTGAAGACCAAACCAATACATCAGAAGTTTGCATTGCAGCACTGAACTGCAGTATAATACTGAGACTGTGGTTAACCAAAGCTCATAACATTAAACTTCCTTTTCATTTGTCCATGTATATCTGGCCTTCTCTGGACTAGCTCTAGATTACAATGACACTTTTTTCTAATATCCTGATATGAAAAGGTTTCATGACTGGTTTACTTCTGTACCTGCAACGTGAGTTTACACTGGATAGCATATTTTTCAAAGTTTTTAAGGCCTAAAAACCTACAGGAGCTGTAAAGGACCAGAGAAACAAGACTATACCCTGCCTTTTTTTTTTTTTCCTTTTTCTAAATCTTTGATAAAATTCTTATTGAATCCAGCTGGAGTGACCTGGACCCAAGAGTCATTGTTAGCTTTTACTACATTTGATGTTAGATATTTTTCACACTGCTCAACACCAGGCTTTGTTCTGGTATGATTTTACCATTGGACTGCATCTGTTGGACTGCATCTACAAGTAATTCACATAGCAATGTTTTTAGGGAAGCATGCCATTATCTAAGTGTCTGCATAACTGTGCTGTTCTAAAGGAATGAATAACAGTGAATAAGTAAGTCAATCATATGCAGTAAGAATGGTTGCCTCAGCGAAAGTTCAAGTCTCCATCACAAATTGGGTTCTACCTATAGAAAATTATTTCTTTTCCTCTTACTACCTTTTCACATAATTCAAGTAATACTACAGATACTTAAAACCCTTTTAGTTATCAGCATTTTCACAGGTTAAAGTGGCAAAATAGATAAATGTGATTCTATTGACAGTACACTTGGGTCTTCACATAAAAATTCTTTTGAAAGCAATGGCTTTTGAAAAAAAGATAAAGAGGGAAAAGTAGGTTGTAGGGAGGGACAATTAAGGTAAAGTGGATGTGACTAATCCTATTAATACACATTAATGTAGATTTTTCCTTTACATAAACCTGAAAACATTAAGAAATAATGTTGACCTAAGATCAAGGATGTAACAAAGGAAAAGAAAGAGACTGAACCAACCCAATACACATAAAAGAAGCTGGCAGCGGCAAAATTAATCTTTTCAGAGTTGCACTCACCATCCTTGCAGACCGTTCCCACTATACAGACACCAGTGTCTAGATTATAGCCACTTGGACAGCTTGTGCAGTTTCGGTCTCCCTGGCCGCTGCATTCCACGCAGCTGGCGTCACATCTGGAAAAGAGTGCCAGAGGTTGGCCTTAGGGCAGCTCACCAAACGCAAGCGGTCCCAAGACACCTCCTGTGTAGTGCAAATGGCTTGTTTGCTGTTTCCAACTGTATGAGCTGGTTTAATTAAAAAAAAAAAATTACCTCCCCCTGCAACCCAGTCTTGCTGCTTCCTTCTAACCATTCTTCATTCATACTTTTTTTTTATTAAATAGCTATGTTATTCTAACATCTTGGAACTACACAGAAGTAACCAACAAAGGTGTTAAATGGATTGTGTACTCATGCGCTAGCAAGGGACAAGCTCAAAACCACAGGATGGAAAAGACTGACCTGCTGCCCAGTCCTTTCATCACCCTTCAGGCTGAATTATATTTTGTGCATTGATTGTTTTTTTTTGTGGAAAACTGTAACACATGGTGATTCCCTTCCTGCCCTGAACTCAATGCAAGTCAATAATAAATGATTCCAAAGGGCCTGTGGTATTTGTTTAACAAAGAACAGAATAGAAAAAAAAAATCCCTTCTTTGTATAGCACAACCCTGTCCAAGACTTATCCACCCATTTGTATACTGAGTCAGATGAGCTATTTTGGACAGCAGTCTGATATTATATTTGTGCCATGTCTGTGTCTGTGCAGCTGAAGAACTGAAATGGTCCTTATGAATAGCAATTAACTTGTGATTAAAAATCCTAGTTTGACTTTTTTAGTTTGTTGAGAAACACAGCTCCTCTGCTAGATCTGTAAATTTTACATTTCTCTGCATATTTATTCAGATTCTCACTACAGGCTTTCAAAAGCGAAGGACACACATATATGCACAAGAAAAAACACTTTTAGAAGACCTGCATGAATATAATTCACATTAAAGTAAGAAACCCTTTTCCTTCATTTGCTTAGCATGTAACATATTTTTCAAGTCAGCATTGTTTTATGTTCTCATAATTATTATTTATCTTTTCCTACACAATAATAACTAACATGCTGCCAAACATTAGACACATATTAGCCAATCAAGAACCTTCATACCTTTTGCAGGTTTTATATCCACTTTCAGTAGAGTGATCAAGGTAATAACCACTACTACAGGATTGCACACATCTTCCATCTTCCATAAAATAGCCCTGTGTGCAGTTTATACAAGAATCTACTCCAGCACCTTAAACAAGAGAAAATACACTGGCTAGTTCCTAACTGTAGCAAAAGCTTATCACAGTCTTAGAGGCCACATTTTACTTGCCTTACTTCCTTTCTGCTGCTAGGTATTGCAAACAGTAATAAAGACATATGGCTAGAATAAACTACATTACACAATTTCAGTATGTCTTTTTCTGAAAGAAATGGAGATTTTGTGGCAGCTTTAGAACTGCCAATATATCAACCATGGCTTCTTTCCAGAAAGACAATGGAGGGCATAATTATAAATTAGAATGAGCGCCATTAAAAGCAAAGAAATGAGTGTATGTGCACTTTCAACTAGAAAAGTTCTGCCATACTTAAAATATACTAAAGAACTACCAAGAGAATTAAGATTTTACATGTCAGCAGTCATGTTGTACTGGAACCATGATAGAATAAAATAAAATCTGAGGCAATAATATAGAGGAAACAAAAAGATGCGGATGAATGTCAGTGAAGTACCTGCACATGTTGCACAGGAACGGTGACACGGTTCACATTCCCTACCATTATGGTATTTTCCTTCTTCACAGTGGATAGCACATTTGGAGCCATGTAAACTATTGTAAAAAGGAAAAAAGCACAGTGTTTGAGCCCAGAGCAGATAAGAGCAACAGAGGACAACAAGCTCATTCACAAACCAGTAGTTCTCTTTGAATAAAAGAACAAGAAATTATTAGTGTTCACCAGCTTCCTTCACTGCTCATATTTCATAAACTTAGAGACAGCAATCACTTCGAGTGGGAATGAAATGCAGTATCACCTATGATGAAGTACAGCAGCTGTTTACGAACTCCTAGTAAATACTACCAAGTAGTAGAGGACAGAAAAAAATTAATAGTGCCAAAGAGCATTGAAAATTCAGGCATTAAAAATGCAATTGCCCATGAGGAATTTGGCACAGGGTCAGCATCATTGCATTAACAAAAATGCTAAGGGACTTGTTAACAAGATCTCATGCTTCTCTTGAAAGACCAGCAACATCTCCTGATACCATGCTACATACAGCACAGGCTAAGAATAGATTCACAATGCAGGAAATCACCACCTCTTTCTGCAATAGCAGTTTGCTTTCACATCTCCAAACTGAATACCAGTTCTGCGTAGCTTGGGAGATTTGTCAAGATTACAGCCAGAGGTATTCTGCCTGCAGGCACTTTGGAGTGATAGTACAAAATAGCGAGTAACAGAGAAAAAAGGAATAGCATAAGGAGTCACATTTCCATGCTTCTCTCTAAGTAGCTGTTTATGGTTTCATGTTAAAAAAAAAAAACAAAAACCCTGCTCTAGGCACCTTATAAGCTAGGGCTTCTCTGACATATTTACCATCTTCTGTGGAATGTCAGCTTTCATCGAATTTAGCCATTTCTCTAAAAATGCTCTGCAGCTCTAGGGAGTACCACTCAAAGTGGGTGTTAATCCTGTTGTACACATTGGATCCAGTAAAAGTCGTGTGTACTCAGCACCACTGGAAATTGTCAAGAGTGCATATGGTCCCAGTTTGGAAAAAAATTGCTTAAATTAATAATTCAACAAATGCAGCAACACTTGCTTGCTTATTACTTTTCCTCAGTCACACATTCAAAGTGCTTTACAAGGCAGGTAGCATTATCATGTTTTTACAGATGGGAAAACTAATCATTTGCCGAAGTTTAGTTAATGGACCAATACCAGGATCAGAACTCAAATCCAGGTCTCCCAAGTCCCATGCAGTGCTCTGCTCATAGATGAATGCCAAGAAAATGCAGCAAGTGCCGAACAACTTGGGAGTATGAAATGCATGTCCTGCAAGGCTCTATTTATTTGTCATACCCACACAGATGGTGTTCTTTCAAAACATTACCAAAAGCAGTCTCAGCCTGCTAACATTGTCCAAGAAAACATGAAATTTGGGATCTTTTCTTTTTTTTTTCCTTTCAGTTTCTCTTCTCACAAAGATCAGGCTTGTCTCCTTTTTTCAATGGTGCTACAAGTTTGTGTTAATTGACAGGGAAATACATAAACTCATTTCCTGAGTGATAAAGAAAATTTGGGCATAATTCTTTTTTAGAGACTGTGTCCTGTAAAGTTACAAAGTTGTAATCTTGGATCTTCTAATATATTTTGTCTATTATAGGAACACTATATCGTTATAGAATTGAGCCTGAGGTACCTGAGATAAGTGAATGATTGGATGTATGAGGAGACACAATAAAGAAAAAATAATTTCCAACTATCACAGGAATGAATCAGAAGGATTAATATGATTCACCAGCTCTACTTCTAAAATAATCCTTGACTGCCACACCGTAGGTCAAAAAAAGTGAAGAAGGCAGCTTTCCATATGATTGTGGCTTTTATTTTACCTGAAATGAAAGGTCTTCTAAAAATCCATTGTTAGTCAAAATGGCACATAGTGGCACAAGAAAATACCTAAACAGCAATGAAACACATGAAATGAGGGCTACTCAAGGTTAAATAGCTATATAACTTTCGTCCTTGTATATCCATTGACTCATAAGCCTCTGCAGCTATTGTGTTTGGTGACATCCATCATTTCCTTACCTTAGGCCGTGTTTGCATTCTGTGCAGATTTGGAATTCAACACATGTCTTACAGTTTTCACTGCATTTTCGACAAACAATCTTACCTACAAAGGAAAAAAGGAAAACAGCCCAGAAAAGCTTGGTCAGTTATGTTTAATAAAATTATATGGATATATTATTACATGATTTCTTACTTTTCTAGCTTGACATCAGGAATGGAAGCAGAAAGCTAGACTAAAACAGCTAATAGCTGAAATAGCTAAATTCTGTCTATCAATCATCAGTTTTTTAATCAAACTTCACATGGCTTAAACTATTTCTAAACATTTGAAGGAATAGGTGTACCCTTAGAAAAAGAATATGCTTTGAGGTTGTTAAAAAATCTTCATAAACATGTTTAATTTAGATTAACAATTTATATTATGGACTTAAACAGTATTTTCAAATAGCAGGGATATACAGTGCTGAATGCAATGTGTTCCAGTGACCCTGTTTCAATTTACCTCTTACTCCTTCCATACAAGCAGCCTGTCCTGTCTTACCTCATCTGGTGTTCAAGGACACACCTGCATGAACACTTCTGATCTTAATGAAGTCAAGACATAAATTACTTAACACTTGCCTTTTAATCTCAAAAACTCCCTCCTTGAAGGGAGATCTCTCTCTGTCTTCAGACCTCCTACCTTTTGAGATGCAGTGCTGTGTACCTCTCTGAGAAGAAAAAATTGACATTCCCATTTAATCCTAAATTTTTATCTATCCATCTTGACTGAGTGGAAGGGAATTCCCCTCACTGTAGTTTTCAGACAGTGAAAATGGAAAAATAAAAGTAGCAGCTGCTCTTACTAATCCTTGAAAATGAACACAAAGCTTCATGGTACAGAAAGCAAAAGGTAAGGTATCCAGTTGAACAAAGTTCTTGAGCACATATTTATCTTTTAAGCATGTGTCTAAAGCTAACTGAAGTCAGTGGAGTTAAAGTATATGCTTGAATATATATCTGAGTATTTTTACTAGCCAAAGCTGGTAATTAAACATGGGCACCTCTACTTGGCAATCACAGGAGGAAACTGAAGCCAGGTGTCTCACATGGCAAAGAATTACTTGGGTCATCACATCACTGCAGTTACTTAAGTCTGTCAAAAACATAATTACAAACACTTCTTACATCTGAGGAGCCTATTTTTCTTAGAGCGCGAGTTCAGTGCCAGTGCAGGATTTCTCGGCTGTTTCTTCCATGTGCATAGGGTCATGGTGGTGCCATGGCATTTGGGTTTGGGAGAAGGGGGAATGCTTCATGTTCAGAATTAGGGTGCTGCCCATCCCTGTCTGGAGTAGCGATAACCTGCTCCATCCTGCAACTGACTTGTCCTTGCATTGCCCTCATTGTGCTGCTGTCACTCTCAGCCACAAGAAGAAAAGACATCCTACCGCAAAGTATGATTTTTAAAAGCTAGTTATCAAAGCAGATTCCTAGATTAATTTTTGAGGAGATTCTTAATCACAATTGGCATCTAACAATTTAATAAGAGGAGTAGGATAAGAGATAAATGCATCAATATACACTTGCCCTGCTTGTAAGTATTCCAGCAACCTCCCCAGACCAAATTGTGTAGCCCACAATAAAGAAACAATAAGAAATACTAACTCTTATCCAGGTAAAACTCATCTGGGCAGCTGGTAATACAGCTATTGGTTACTTCATTCAGGTAGTAGCCCAATTTACAGGTCATGCACTGGTCACTGTGGCCTCCAACACAGGTTTCACAATTGGGTGAGCATTTTTTACAGCGTTTCTTGTCTGCATTATAGTGACCAGGTGGGCAGTTCGAAACACAGATCCTGCAGAGAGCAGGGAAGAAAAGATAGAGTCGTTAATGAAATAACCTGCCCCCATGTTCCTGCACCATGACTGCAAAGCAGAAGTATTTCTCAGCATTGCTGTTTTTCTAATGATCACGTTTACTGAAATGTGACCCTCCCAAGCATTGAATCAAGCTGCCTCTTCTTGTCTTCTTTTTCTTTCCTGACAGCATATGCTGTCTCACTGGCAAACCCTTGTCAGGCAGTCATGTGGTATCATTTATAACCATCTACATCTCTTCCTATCTTGTTCAAACTCAATCACAGAAGCTGTAATAGCTATCACAGTTATATATATAGCCATCTTATGAAAAAATAATCAAGAGAGAGGGAAATAATCAGGGAAGGTGTTTGAAGGCTGTACTTTATATTCTGATTAGCTAGGTTTTTTCTCAACTCCTAAGAAAATTTGTCGAATTCAGAGGAAAATAAATTATCCATGACTGCAGCAAAGAGAAGAGAAAGGAATTTAAAACATACACTGAGTAATCCATGAAGTAAACATTTTCCTTTTGGTCTTACCGTGTGTTGTTCTTAGATTTGTAGTAGTAGTGCAGACAGTCAGTACAGTGTTCTGGTCCTGGCCCATCACACCCTACTTTACTGCATTCTGCATTGCAGGGACCTATAATAAAACCAAAAATCCAGGGGGAAAATTAACACTTTCCATCTGGTACTGAGTATCTTTTAAAACATAGTATTTTAATGCAGAATGCAATTACTCTGTTTCCCTATGTGATCTGCAGCCCAAATAGTAATTTGGCTCCACTGAAAAGAGAAGGGTTTTAGTATCTGAAGACCTTGACAGATTTGGGCCTCACTATCCACCCACAGTGATTTGTAATTTTTAGCAAGCATGGTATCCACTACAGAACCTATCAGAAACTATTTCTGGATCCAGATGAAATGCTGCCCTGAAATTCCTCTTAACATCAGGCAAACCTGTAGTAAAGTGATTTTGTTCATGAAAGCTGAAGAAGTGAGTGGCCTTTACAGCAGAGATGTAAGTTACACATTTGTAGGTATTATAGCACACATGCAAGCTGAGATAACTAAGTGTCTTTAAGGTAATTCACATAGCTCCCTAGAGCTAGGATCCACTCTTTAATGTTAACTCTCAGCTCTACTCTTCCCGTTCCCTAAAATAAAAGGCCAAGGCTCTGAATAATTCTCCTTCCTCTGCAATTTCTATCTTCTCCCTCTTCTTCCCCTCCCAGAGTGTGGTGGTGATGACCAAAATGAACACCAGAGAAAGACCACTATCTAGTCCATGCCTGAATGGATCTCTTCCTTTGAAATACTTTCTTTTCCTTCTAAAAGTTTGGTCTCCCATTTCTGGGCTATGTGATGTGTCACAGAACCAACAGGGTAAATTCAACTTCATTTCCCACTCCTCTTCAAGTGTTTTTTTTCCTGTTACTTGTACTTTTTTGTGTGATGATGACATCCATTGCATGATTTAATTAGATAACATTCTTGGCTTCAGTTTTAAGTGTTTTTTCCCTATTATAAGACTCCTTAAAATATAATGGTAAAACTCCTCAAATCACATTTCATGACAATTCATAACAAGCTATGTTTTAATAATAAAACTGAAGTCAGCTCATTCTTGGTGACCTGTAATATCTAAACATTGTACTTGGACAGAAGTGAATGATGAGATTGAAGAGAGGAATATCTGGAGTAGAAAATACCTTGCCAACCCTGTAAGATTCAGGTGACTGCCTCCAGGGACCTCATCACAGCGGCTTACAATAAAATTTTGGGCAAATTTTTGGAATGCGCATGCACGACAATGGACAAATCTTGGCATACTTTTTTCTGTACATATTTGCATCTGAAAAGGGGAAACATGTCTTTGACTCATGTGAGCCATTGCTTGATCATTCTGTGGATCTTTATTCACATTATGGAAAACTGAGTCATTGTCGATTACATTGGAAAAATGAATGAGCTACAGTGTTTTATAATATCTACTGGTAATGCCATCAAGAATTGTTAATGGCTTAAATGTGGCTGATATCTACAGAAGGCTGTTTGTTAAGCATTCATTGTCCACCACTGATGTCAATGCTATCTATGTAGCAGGACCAGAAAATATAAGCAAGAAGTCTCTTGTCTATTCTGATGCCTCTCTGATAGTGTTTCATCACTTACTTACCAAAATAAGGAGTTAAGCAGTTCTCAATCTAAGATAGGCACTGGGGGTCTGATGTGCTGTAGCAGGAGATGGTAATAACAGAAACTTAAGATTCAACAGTTCTAACCATCTACAGAAAGCTCCTGACACTGTTGGATTACATGTGGGAAACTGCCAACTCGACTCACTGCAGCACCAAAAATCTAGTTCTATTAAAATCTAATGTAAATAATGAAAAACTTCTACAGGGATCAATGGAAAACAGCATGTATAAATAAGATAATATTATTCATATATCCATATACACACACACATATATAAAAAGCAGTGCATTCTTCATAGCACCTTAACTGTACCTTAAAAATATATAACTTCTTTGCTTACAAAATAATGACAAAAATGTATATGTAACTTTAAATTATTAAACAACTAGTTCTGATCTTAAATTAAGAAATCACTTCACTGAACTCCCACCACTCCCACCCCTCTATGGGAAAATCCTCATGTAACATTTTTTTGAGTAGATATACTGTCAGCACCATGTTTTAGCCTCAGAATATTAATTTTCCTGTGTATAATTACTATAAACCCTGCATAATTAGTATCAGTTGTGCCACTGAAATTCTAACTATTTCAGTGAAATATAAATATTACTTTGCTCTTCTAGTCAGAGAAGACTGATTATCCATGTTGTTTCTACTTGAATAATTTTAGTTATTTATTTGCAATTTTCTTTCTGGTAACTTTCAGTACCATCTAATTTCCCAGACAAGAAAGGCTGGACGATATCTGACCATATATTGCCAATACAAAGTCCTATGAGAGAAATATTTTATACATGCAGAGTTTGAAGTTACTCCTTCAACCTATTATGTGTTCAGTAAATGCACAACCAGAGTAAATGAATGATACTTCAAAGTACGCACCTGAATAGTCATCTGTTCCATAATCTTCTGTAGTTTCTTCAACTGGACTAGAGCGCACTCGTTCCACTTTTGGAAAATCATTTCTTGGTGAGTAAGGCTGGACAGATGTTCCATACAGTACTAAGGACCATTCTTTCAATTTACCTAGAAGTTAGATATTAAAAATCTAGTTTTAGAAATCACTTCTTATTTTCTGTCTTACAAAAAGATATCACTAGTAAACATGACTTTGTGAGTAGGTATGGAAGACTTTGCATTTCATCTAATTGTCTTTAGTTTAATACCGGCCATACAGTCTTTGCTTCACTGCAGTTCAGAAAGCTTACTTTATTCGTTTGGATTTCCACACTGTATTTTATTCTCCTCCACCCTACTGTAGGTCTACTAAAAGTCTGCACCGCAAGTTGAACTCAGTATAAACAATAAACAAAAAAAGTCTGGTCATAAAGTTATTCGGAAAATTTTTATGGCGTTTAACAAGGTGAGTTTTTGCTCCAGATTTCACTGTTCCTCAGAACATTAATTATCCAGTTTTTATTATTTGAGATCTCTTAGCTAACCAGCTACATATTCAGAATTAATAAAGGAGTTACGTTTTGGTTAATTCTCAAGAGTATTTTTCATTGGCTTACAGGATATATCTTGATGAACACAAAAAAATTTCTTTTAAAAACTCTGGTAGAATGCCAATGTCCCCTCCCAAAACACAGTAACTTCTTATTCACTTTGGCCCAGTTATTTGGCAGATACGTCACTACATTGTCTGAGTTCGTCACCAATATTTTATGCTCTCAGCACTTGAGTGAAGAAAGAAAAAATTGTCTGCTTGCCTGAATCTTACTTTTTTGGCAAGTTTTTTGTGGAAGAATGGAAAGATTAATGTGTATCAAGTCATCAGTTCAGGCTGTCAGGACAAGAGGTGTGAACTTCCAACCTCCACCTCCATGTCTTTACTACCCAGTGAATTAATTCTGTGAAAGAGCAAAAGGATTCAGGCCTCAAATAATGCTTAAGGTAATGATGCATGAAAAATACATCTCTGCTTGAGAAGGTGGAAAGCAAGTTTGGCGTTATCCTATTCTCTTGATTATATCTATCTGTGTTGAAGCAGCAATTTAGAAAAAATGTAATCCAAGCAAGGCTCTCCACAGGAAAATCACTTAATATACTTCATGTGAAATTAAATTCAATGCCACTCAATAATTTGTTTTGGGTTTTCATATTCCTCACTTGGGCTTTTTCAATCTGTGCAAGCAAATTACTTTGACCTTTATTAGAATTAAGTTATTTTTCTGTATTTTCCCAATGTCATTTGGTACCCTCTGATGACATGACCAAAACTGAACATTATCTCTCTGGTTTTACATTCATCCTCTAAGCATTAAGCAACAATAAGCAAAGCCATGGATTTCACTGAGGAATGACAGCTACCTGACAGATGATAACCCAATTCTTTTAAACTGTTTTATATTGAGGTTTTATATTGGGGTTAAAGATGGGAATGAAATTGCTATCTCACTGTCTCTGCCAATCCAATATAATCTTTATTTGATAGAGATTTCTACACTGTATATGAAACCTTCTCAGTTCTATACTCAATTTTAAAGAAAATAGTATAGGCAAGACTCTACATCATACAACAATTGTTTAGCACAGTAATTTCCAACTTTTTGTAGCTGAAGCAAAGCATTACTTTTGAAGAGACTTTCAATCTTGATTTTAAAAAGTAATTGATGAAGAACCTACCTCACCTCTTGCCAAACAGTTGGCTAATTACCTTGGCTGTCAAACTCTATGCACCTTATTTTCCATTTGTCTTTTCCTAGGTCTAGCTCATAGCCATGAAGCTCTTTAGTCCACACTAGATTAAAAAGACCCAAATCACATATTTTCTTCCTGTAGAGACACTTAGGGATCAAGTTACCTCTCAATGTTCTTTAAAGTGATTCAGCTGGGTTCTTAAAGGCACTTTCCTTTTAGCAAAAGAGTTATACAGAGAGGTCATGTTTAGCTACACAAGCAGTCAGCTCTAAAGCCTTTTCAAAGCTATAGCTTCTCCGCATACATTCTCTGTTCTTTTTGTGACTTAACCCACTTCTACAGCATATTGACCACAATATATTGGATGCAATTGAAAAATATGTGTTTTGCTAAGTTAGCTGGACCTTTCCATCCTCATTATTATTTTACTCCAATGATGACTACACTTTCCAAGTGTTGATTTTATATATCTTCCAGAACACTGGTAAAAATATTGAATACTAGAAAGTAATATCTGCAAGGATCCACTAAAAATAACCACAGGCAAAGATGTTCCTCAGGCACAGTGTACTGCTGTGTCTGAACTTCACACACATGGAAGAGCTTGTAGCAACATACCTGCAGGAAGGATTGGAGCCTTGAAAGTATATCTATCTAATGCAAAAGGACAGCGAGGAGAATAATGTAGGGACTCTCAGGAGATTAGTTTCCTTTTAAGAATGGTTCAGTAAATAAAGAGAGAGAAAATTCATGCGACTTGCCAGCAAATAAATGAAGTCTGCCTCAAGGCAGGTTTAATTTGCACAATGAAAATATTTCAATAATAAGTATATATACATAAACACACACACTTTTATAATGAATAAACAAAGTGTGCACATTTGAGCCAAAATCTTTCTATCCCCATTTTTGGCTGATTCCATCATTTAGTTTGGCTAGAATAATCCCTTACCCTGCTTGTATTTAGTACATAACAGAGGTCCCACATTGTATGTATAGGAGAAAGGGTATATCACAGCGTTTCACAGCAAGCACATGTCCACCTCCATAAACTCTACAGGATTAAATGCAGAAATCACATGCACTATTTTTATGAACTGAACCCTGCATTTCTTTACGGGTAACAGATGTGGCATTACCTTGCCAATACTGGGGTACAGTGACATGTTGGCTCTTTGTTCTCAATTTGATTACAGGAAAACTGTAGCTCTTAATTATAAGACCTTTCAATAGCTAAACAAATACACGCACACACAGAAATGAGAAACAGGCATGACGGTGATATCAGTGTGATAAACTGCAGACTACAGTGATAAAGCGGAGAGGCATCATAAATCGTGTTTAAGCACCTTTTCCTTACTTTACATTCTGTTCAGTGCAGAGACTGACCCTAACATGCCCAAATGGCTGAGTTTATCCACTACTAATATACGGCAGGCGCTTTCAAATCTTTCTGGGATGAAACATTACTGGACAGCTTCCATCCTGAGGCAAGCACTGCTCTAGAAACCTGGAGGATGTCACTAAATAGGATACAATGAACCAAGGCCCAAATTCACAACTGGATTGCATCTTTTAACTCAGATTAAAAGATAGTAAAGAATTAATTTTCCAGCAGGATTCTTTTAGCACAGTAGCTTCCTCCACCACCCTTGGCCAGGCAGGTCTACTTTCTTCATACCCCCTGGCCTTACGACCCCTTTTCCTCCGGAGTTGAATCTTTAGGCTTTAGTCCTCATGGAGCAAAGAAATCAGTCCCATAAGATTAGCCACTGTAGCACTGAGAAGAGTATATATGAAGTATTGAAATCAGTAAATCAATAAGACTATATGGCTACTCATATAAGAAAAAAGAGTTTGCCGAAATAAATAGGCTTTAAAGTATAAAGCTGAAAATGTAACTGGTCTCTCTTAGACTGTCCTGGTGACATAAAAGGGCTATAAATGATGTCTGGAGAATAGCCCAGGTGGACAGCTTCCAAAATGGCTCTGTGCTAGCTTTATTCTAAGCTTTAATACAGGGAGCATGCCAGGGCAAAGAGAAAAGGGGGGAACAGCTGAAATGTGTTGCTCTCTGGCTAGCCTTCCTCCTTGTTGGATGAACCCCTGGGTGCCAGTATACACAGTGGTGAAGGGCTGCCCCAGCTTATCCTTCAAGCCAGAGAAGCTCTTGGCTGCTTCAAGAATAACAAGTATAAGACAGAGTAGAAAATCACTGATTTTTGTCTTTTTTTTTCTTCCTCAGTAATCTGATTAAATTTAAAATATGTAGTTTTTGTGTAGCACCTCTCCTCTATCAAATTCAAAAGCACTGAAAATTCTCTGGACACACAAAAAATATATATATAGTTTTGCCATAGTTTATGGCTGCTCTTCCCAATACATTTAATGAATACCCCTTTTAGTGTACTGGAAACTCTGCTCTGCTCAGCATTTGCTGGTACAATTAACATCATTAGCTAAGGACCTGTCACCAGTGTAAAACCATGGTGAGAAATGATCAGCGTGGATAAAATGAAGTGAAAACTGAGACACTGGCAATACTCTTATTTTATTTCAGACCTCTAGAGGATGATGATCAAGATTTTCAAAATGCTATGCTTAATGTTAGCCTCCTGAGTGTACTGTTAACATTTAAATAATACTAACCATCCTAGAGTTACCATAGACATACATAAACAACATAAGAAGTTGTTTGCTGCTCAGCAATTATGAAAATCACGCTGCTTATTTGGGTCTTCAGTAGGGACTTATGGGCCTCTTTTTACATACCAGGCTTTAAAAACTATGAATTCAGACTGCAGGTTTAGTTTCTTAAAAAGGAAGATTCAGGTAATGCAGATGCAGACAACCAAGACAGGTAATAAGAGAATTTGATTACATATATGCATTTCCTTCTGGAAGAAAAAAGTATATATACATACATACATACACACATATAAAAGCAGAGACACTGCCTATCTGGCCATCTGCTGCATTAAACAGAACATAATTCAGCCAACTAATGAAGAGTAGAAATAAAGGACTAAAATTCTCATTAAAGTTCATACCATTGATTTCAACAGCAGTTGGATGAGGCTGATCTATGATTTCGATTTTCAGAAAAGAAAATCATCTAAGAAGCATAAAATCAGCACTTCCATTTTGTCATAATATTGAAATGAGAGGGTATATTTTTGTCCAAAGAAAACTGTATAAACTCAGTTGAGTTTGGCCTATATACCACTTGGAATAGGAAGGAAATAGGATCATCAGACAACCCCATGTTCACACATTAGAATTCCTAGTGTGCCTTGGCTTTCTCTAAATCACTGTGAAAATAGTCCTACTGAGTTTGCAAGCTGTAGGAGGGAATGGGACAAGCCTCCCAGGGCTGTTAATTCCTTTGAAAGAGTCACATTTACCTTGAATAGGTAAATGGCACATAGCCTTCAATTCAATCTAAGTAATTTAACAAATTGAATTTCAATCAAGAGGAAGAAAAATCATTCCACTCTATGGAGAACATCTCCACAGCTGGTGGCAGAAATATTTTTGGGCCTTTCTTTGACAAAATCAAATCGAAATAATTAACCTTCTTCTAGAATGGCCAACCAGATGCATATGTTCTATCGTGCTAACTTTTCTTATTTTAAACATATAGTTTTTAAGCACATTATTTAGCATTTTAATCAAAGTTTCTTTATGTGTGCCTTTTCGTGTACTAGAAACAATAAAAGTACTTATTATATTTAGCGAGGGTCATTCAAATAGTTTTAATGACTCCCAATAACCTATTAATTCAGGAACAAGCTTACTTAAAAACCTCCTATTGTTAAGTTCACAAAGATATATTTTTATGGCTTCAAATTATTTATTTTGAGTTAACATCTATATCTTAAAATGCAGAATTGCTTTTTAGCAAATCAATTAGAAAATCCTGACTGTTCCATGAGTTTACTTAGCTGCTTGAGGTAAGGCTGCTCTAACTTATGTTGAAGACTTGGCTGACAAAACTATATTCAACATCCAAGAAAACAGATGCCTATATATTATAACTTTTCTCAAATGTGACACACGTAGTTTCATGCAGTTTTGTGTCTTTTTACCTTGAAAATTCCACCTACTCAAAATTTGCCTTTGTTTGTTTAAAGCACTGACTCTTGGTAGCTTATCAGATGGTACAGGAGCCTGTCTCTGCCTGAAAAATTCACAAGTCTGGTACGATCCAGCTCTACGTGGCCAAAGTTACTTCTTACACTTTGAGATAACAACTTTGAAGGCAAGAAAGTGTGCAGTGTACCCCTGAGAAGGTGAAGTTCTCCATGGAAAGCAGAAGTAAGTTCAGGATAAACGAGAACTACAAGCCTTAAATGACAAATAACAGCAACATAAAAATGAGGAGTGCATTGATAACTGTAATTAAGAATAGCGCATAGCTCTCTATATCTCTGTCTTCACACTAAACCAATGAGATGTCAGAGGTGTAAATAAAAGGTGGAAAACAGCCAAAGTAGTGTTAGCAACTACAAGCATCCTTCTGACTCCACTGAAATCAAACACAGGCCAGAGTCATACCTGGAGTCTTGAAATTTCTCAGCTGAGAGGGAGTGTCACAGATTTCCAAGATCCAGTCACCTGCTGCTTTTTCACTCCAGCAGTGAGTAGTCATAAACTCCCAGTTTTTAAATCCTTCCATGGAATGATCAAATAACCTAAAATAAATCAGGACATTTGTGTAAGTGCACCATTTTATTAGTGGAGCTAAGCCTCCAAGTCTGCAGGCTTTGGCATGATACACTAATTAGTCAGTCCATTCAGCTACACCTTTACAAAATACTAATCATGATGATTTTTCAGCACATATTTCAAATGCATTTACCAGTTGTTGGGGTTTTTTTTTTTGGATGGAGAAGATCCTTTCCATGCCGTTATTTGTCATAATGTGAAAGAGAATGCAAAGAGGATTCACTGTAAATAAAAATTGCTGATAGGGTTTAATAGAAAGCATGTGTCTTGGGAAAAGTGCATAGAATACAGTATATTCTTTGCTTTAAAAGCACAATATAAATACCAACAACTTTCTTTAAGTTGAGAAAGTTCTGTAACAATTGCTTTTGGTCTTGGATTAAAGTACTGAAAAGGAATTTTAAGAAAATAAAAGTAAAGTGACTGAGACAACATGAGCAACTCAATACGTGTGATCCCTTGTGAGGAAATCAAACATATCTCAAACATTAAATGACCAAGATATCACTCTATTCAAACACTTGACAGGATCGAGTTTGGGTAAAACTGAGAGACTAATAGCATCTGATGATTTCATCGTGCTAACAACATTACCATAATTTAATTAATTAGGTCTTGGGTGAAGAGGTTGGATTTCATGCCTGGATTACAGTAATTTCTAGTATGGGGGCCCAGTTCAGAGGCTGCAATGTGATGCTGATCGGGTGGGGGAAGGGGAAGGAGGACTGGCCTGAGATTTTATTGCCAAAAACTGGAATTTATTAATGAGATTTTGGAAAGACACAAGAGAACTTGCACTTTTATTCAGTGCTCACAGTGTGTTGCCTGGTACCCCAAAGGTATTGATGGGAGGTGCACTCTAATAGAGACTGCTGCCTCTAATAAAAATGGCACAGCTCAGCTTTAAAAGATATATATATATATATATAGTTTTAGATCTCCCTCTCACAGAAAGGCAGAATGAGAACTACTGCATTTATCACCATTTTAATTTGCTCTTTATGTGTGGCAATTCCACTGGTGACAGCTACACTTAAAATATTTTTCATAAAAAAATGATTTGTACAGTAGAAAATCCAGTGGATTTAGAACACTTCCATAAAATGGAGAACAATCTAGTGTATGACTACAAAAATACTCTAATCTATCTTAAAAATATATTTTACACAAACTTGATTCTTTATTGTTATTTTCCAAGCACATTTCAAGCTTTTTTTTCAAAATGTTGTGAAGTTCAGCGTGCAAACATTGGGCAAGCAGGATAGTGTTGTAGCAATGTGAATGTGTGTCAGGTTCTGCTAAAAATGTTCACGTAGGATGCAGATAAAAGGCCATTTTTCTTGCCAAAAGCCTTGGCCAGTCAGAGGCCTGGGGCTAAGAACTGCATGGGCCTACATATCCACAACTCACTTCAGTAGGATGTGGATGTGTGGACTGCTTATAGGATTCGGCCCATAGCTGATTTTCTCTTTCATTTGTGTAACCTTCTTTCATTGGTTATGAAGGTCTATAATGTTGCTCTTATTTATTAATGTTGATAACACTTAATGAAAATATACATATATATTTTAAATAGGCTGTATTTTCACTGATAATTGGGTGAGATTTTTTTCTTGTGCAGTTCTGTAGATAGAATTATGCCATCAGAATTGGCCTGTTTCATGTCACTGTTAAATCAGTTGATTGAATACAACAAATTTCACAAACACATGGCACACATCATTTACTGAAAGGTAGAAATTATCTAACTAGTTATTACCCATTTTTTGCATGTGAGTATGTCATTATGTAGGTTACTTCCAACAGTTAGTCAAATTGTCATACAGTGTTATGCTGATAACTAATGTATTACTTTTTAAACACACATATAAATATCATGCAATTATATTTGAAATTCTATATTCATTGGACTTGCATTCACATACATAGAAACAAAAGTTACTGCTTATTTTTCCTGGAATTAGTCTGACATTTCCCACAGTATTTTGTGTTTAAAGGTGTTTATATGTCATGTTTTGGTATTTTAAAATACTGTCAGATTTTAATCTTGCATCTTTATTTTAAGTCATTTTGGGAGGAAAAAAACAAAAATCTCTTGTGACTTGGCCTTAGATATACAAAACCACCTCTACCTAAAATATGCTATGGCTTAAAATGTAAGCTTTCAAATCTCCATCATTTATGGGGGTAGGGGAAAACATAGCAATATTATTTCATACATAGGAAATGGACCAGTTTTTGGAAAGAAAATTTCCCTAAACTTATTTGGGAAATATTTATTTTTTAAAATAAAAAAAAATTAAAAAATTGGATTTTTTTTAATGTATGAATTAAATTTGCATAAATGATTCTACAAATGAGCCAAAAAGCTACAGACAGAAAAACAGTTAAGAAAAAAAGTGTAAGGTTAGAAAGATACTGACTCTGAGGTTATCTGTATGTGCATTTTGTACATACTCAACAGTCCAAGTATTTTCATGTTACTCTGCTTAAGCACTAAACTCTCAAATCAAAGAACCTGGGAGGTGGTACATGCATTTCCCCTTCAGGAGTGTTGAGTGAAAGGATGAAATGATCGAAATATTTACGGAAAAGTTCTGGTGTACTTTTCCTTATTCAGAAAGAAATACATACAAAATAGGATCTTTTAAGGAAGATGGAGCCACTCCAGGTGGTTAATTAATTTTGTTATTTGTCAGATTGATGCCAAATCAAACTTCATGTTAAGGATACATTCATACACACCTTATCATGGACTAGCAAATTATTAGTATATGGTCTGATAAATTGTTAGTTGACTATTACAGGTTATTATAGATTAAAATATTTTAGCAAGATGCCTAGAATAATTGATAATTTTTATGACCATGCTTATATACAGCTGCAGCACCAACACTCATGCACGTAACATGCTTTTAACTACTAGATTGACAGTGATTGACTCTTTATAAATTGTTTGTTAACATAACCACAATAGAAAGCTAGATCTGTTATTCAATCACTCAGGCGACCTTTGTTAATAACATCACCTTCAAGATAGGCTGGCTATGACTATCTATATCCAGAGAGGCTAATTTTGGGCTGCTGCTTACTATGAATAGCAATACATTTAAAAATAATGATTCTTCTCTCTCTGAGCGATTTTATGACATATTCATCACCTGCCATATGTAGGTCTATATGAGAATACAGATGCTTACAGTGTGTAGACTGAAATATTTCCTTAAAATAAGTTCAAGTTGTTAAAATGTCTTGGTCTCTTCCATTGCCATCATCTTAGCCTAGAAATTGTATCCCCTTTCTGTTTAAGAATATAACTTGAAGCAGAAATATTCATGTGTAATCAAATTTTAGAAGCAGAGGAAGACAAGTATCCACTTTCAGTGGATTCCACAATTGGGAACATAAGGCTAGTCTCTCACAATTGGATTTGCTAGCATTAAAAAAAAATTGCAAGTGTTTTAGATTTTTAGCAAACATCTCTAAGTTCCTAAATGCACAGAAAAAAGATTTTGCTTTAATTTGTGAAACCAACCCCTTCTACGTGAGAAAAGACAGTTGGGGTGGGGCTTCCATTTGGTAACACTACAATCAGCCATCACAAAGAAAAAAGGGAAAATGTATACAAGGACATTTTTTATTATCAAGGTCGTTTTTTTTTTTTTAATCTCAGAAGATTCAGCTGTACCCGACTGACAGCCATGCTCTGTACATTGAGCTGACCGCATTGGGAGCCAGGAAACATGCAACTTGCCAGTGACTAGCAGTTGGGGCTGAGAGCACTGGAAGCAGCTGTCGAGAGATGCCTATTTGTCCCCCGTTGCAGTAGTCTTTGGTTGCGACGTGCTCCAGCCTACTAAATTAGTGGCTTGACAGTCATGTAGTCTTTGCCCGCTGGGCTAACAGGCCCCAAGACTTAAAGTGAGTTGGTGTTTTGAGCAGAGCAGAGTGCCCTCCTGAGCCATGCACCTGCAGGCGCTTGGGTCAACTGGTCTCCTTGGAGCAGCTCTTCTCCGCAGGGTTGCCCTGACTGCCTGTCAGCGGGAAAACATAACCCGTGAGGAACTGCAGACAGCCCAAACTGATTTAATCAAAGCATTCATCCAGGCCCATCTACATTGAAGTATTCAGGAAATGAATGCACCCATGAAATGCTTTGAAGGCAGATAGGCACTTCAGAAGCTTTCTCCCCTCCCTATGGCAGGGAAGATCTCGTAAGCTTCTGGAGGTGAGATCTAAAGAAAATGTACTTAAAAATTATGCATATGCATCTATTTTTTAAAATGCCTTTTGGATTTGGTTATCACAATTAATTTTATGAAGCAATGGAGATCTCAGTTTGAGCTCAACCTGCACATGAAAAATTTGCTTGGAGGAGAGTAGCACGAACAAGAGGGCATGGGGCCTGAGAGCCTGAAATAGTGGTGAGTGCAGCAATCAACTTTGAATCCTAGATGTTCTTCCTCTCGTCTGTTTTATGCAGCTCTTCTCTTTCTTTTTAGATCAATACAAAATCCATAATCTGAGACGTTTAGCTGGATCCTAAATTTGTCTTTATCCATTTGTCTTCACTCTCACTTCTACTATGGAAAATTAATTAATTAATTCAAACTTTTAATTATGGATGCCAACTTTCCATTACAATTCAGCTTGAAGCATTGAATTCTAAAAGCCAATACATACCTATTCTGCACATCTCCCTGATTAATTCTTTACTAGTCTCAGTCCTCAAAGAAAGACATGTGTCATTCTAGAACTCAGATATATTGCACTTCATTCTTTTTCCACATTTATTTTTGAGCATCCTCTAGGATTGATTTTAGAGTTACATGGATGATTGATAGTGTCAATTACATGCATTCATTTACTCTCCTGCATGTAAACCTAGTTTTGGTCTTTCCTGGGAAAATCAACAATAACTTTTCCTCTTTGATATAAAAAATTGTTAACTGGTTTGTTTTTGATGCTACATCTCCAGTATCCCCAGAGCTCCTCACTCTATCTAATGCTAATATTGACAGGATATAACAAAAGAAGTACTCAATCCCTTTTAGAGGTATTGACATTGCAATTGCAGGAGCGCAAAGAATGGGTGGTAGAAGGAAGGGTAGTGGGATGTCTATTCAGAAAAGGAAAAGACAAACAAGCAACAAAATGAAACATAGCAAGTTCAATTTGGGAGAAACAGTTTTCCAAGAACTACTTCATCTTGTGGACACAGCACAAGCACAGGATTATTGTTTGCTCATCCTGGATCTAATAATGTCACCATAGGGTAATTTTGAAAGTCACTTGAAACACTCAGACTCAGAACAAAGATTGGCCCTATCCTTTTCTTTTTACCCCTAAAATTTCATTTTTGTTGTTGGAGTCTAATGTGTAAACTGTAATAAAGAAATCAGAATCCAGAAATCAAAATAAACTCCTATAAAGAAATGGTTTCCTCTACTTCTGATCATCTAGAATTTTTATGAAGTGATCTGGGAAGTGAGATTAGCTGAGAATATCTCACTTTTGGTCTAAGAGTTTTCTGCAGAGGAGGGCATTATTAAAATTTACTGATTATCAAAGATTTCATTACCAAAAAAAAGACGGTATTGAAAATACTTCCTTTTGTTGCTGAACAGATGTATTATTAATGTCAGTGCCATGTAAGCATAGGAAGCTAGTGGCCTGGAAACTTGCCACCACATGGTTAAAAAATTTCAGTTACGCAGTTCAAATAGCAGCAGCTGCTTTAAATTTAAAGGGCAAGATTTAAACAAGCCGTGACTTTGGCAGGAGACAAATGAGCCCCAAGTTTGCCTTTTCTATCCTCTTCCTGTTTAGCTGTTCCTCCATGACCCCCAGTATTGAGTGTCTGTTAGAACAGGTCTTGGTATGTCTCAAAATACTCTGAAACGTATGCTGACAAATCCAATGGCCAATTGTTTTTAAAAGGGGGATACTGTTCCCCTTTGGACTTAACTGTAGTCATTTTGACTGACTAAGCCTCATCCTCACACCAGCCAGCACTTTCCAAGCCTGTATGTTCCTCTGTTGCAGTACATCCAATGTAATCATGTTTAGCACTCTCCAAACAACAAAGCAGATGGTCCCTGTAATGCAGTTTTTGAAGAATGCACATGAGGCTCAGGCCAGTGACAGTGTAATCCACCAAACGTCTGCAAAGGAATCCACACCGCCTCTGACTAACAAGTTTTCTTACTGAAGTCATTTTAGAGGATGCCAACATTAAGAACAAAATATGCAGAAAAAAGGCCAGATATTGCCTGTGGGACCTACTCGTCAATGCATTAGAAATTACACAACGACTCTTCCAGAACTGGTGGAGAAGTACACACATGTAAAATATACCTTTTTGCACTTTAAGACATTTTACCAGCAAACTGTTTTGAATTAAACCCAGATGAGTAATGGTAAAGCAATGAGGTTTTCCCTGGGTTCTGTAAAAACAGCTGGTATTGCTGCTATTAATCATGTACATGTGCATTAAAAGGTCTTGTATGTCTGAGAAAAGCATCTCAGTCAGGTAGTAGCAATGTACAGCAGCCTCTGGAACCTTTTCCTATAGAAAAAAACCCCAGACCATTTACTGCCAAGGCATCCCTGCATGCTACTTGTACTTGAATGCCTTTATTTGGATGCTCTCATGATTAATACTTTAAAAATCAAATGCCTCAAAACCAAATAAATTCTCATGTTAGTGATTAACAACTCTCCCACTCTGGTTTTCATATTATAGCATGATGCTAAAAAATATACACCCAACAACACTCAGTATACTAATTCCAAGACCACTAAGATGTAAGATTTCTTACAGAAATAGCATTTTGAAAAGTGTTGTGACCATATACATCACTACCCTAAGAAAGGGCTTGTGAAGGCTCTAGTATATCTCACACCTAGATTTTGCAAAATTCATGTATTCCTTAATTTTAGTACCCCAGAGCTGTGAGTTGTCATCAGTCAAATGTGACTGACAAGTCTGTATATCTCTGAAGCTTTCATGGGGAAGGAATTTCTGATGTGACCATATGAGCATTTGCTCTTTCATTAATAATTTGTTTTTGGAAAATGGCAAAAAATTAAAAGGCCTTTCAGTTTTCTTAGTTTTCTGGGTGTCCTTCTACTAGTACAGGATAAGAAGCAACTGAACATCTCATATTTTAATACATACATTTGCTTTTTCTCTCTACCACAGGTACAGAAAGCAATTACTTTTTAAGGAGCAGGGGTTACAAAGAAACTCTGTACCTTTTCCACATACCAGTCATCACCAGAGGTGAACTGTGAATACTGGAATGTCTTTATCTCCCACTTGCTGTGAGTCAACTGCAAGACATGAAAGGCTGGAGCCAGAATTTAGCTATGTTAAGACCACTGGGTTTACACGAGCTTGTTTTGTTTGGATATTTAGTGGAGGACTTTTAGATTTCTTCATTTTGAAGCATGGAAGAACTGCTGCATGAAAACAGAACAGAAAACTAAAGAAGGATTCCTTCAGCGAGAAAACAAAAGCCTGGTTCACAACTGTTTAGAGGGTTGATGTCAGCCTATGGTTAGCAAAGCGTAAGTTCTTTGTTCAGTGCAGCAGGAAAATAGGTAGATGTGTGTGCATGTATGTTTTATCTACAAGGCACTGACAATGCTGGTAACGAAACATAGGAGATATCCTAAAGGGGCAAAAACTCTAGAACAACTTTCTCTCCATTTAATGTGTTAATGTCTATGGCTTGAAGAATATTTCCAGAATATAGTCCTTTTATTTGAAATTAACCTCATCGCCAATGAAAATGTGGGTCTACCCTTCAATCGGAACAGAATCCATTTGAGCGTCCCCTCTCTGTAACAGGTCCTTCCTCTTGAAAGGAGAGGTAAGTTCTGCCACTACTAGGGGACAGGCAGGGCGCAAGTCTCCAGGACTAGTCAGCTAGTATTACCAAGGCTGGGGGTTAGGGTGGCTGATGGAGGTAGCCGGTTCTGCTTCCTTAAACACTTTAAGCAAAGACTAGAACTGGGCATATAAACTTTTGCGAAGGCTTGAGCTGGAAGGCAGAAGAGCTGTCGCAACTCAGAAGTGACATGTGTTGCTTTGGTTGCCAGTGAGACAGGCTGCACTAATGTTAACTTTTGGGTGGGAGCAGAATTGCAAACACCTAAACCTACCAGGCACCGGGGTAAAAACATTCTTTATCCTGCTACGGCCCTTGCAGAAGAAGAGCTGTCCAGCCAGCTGGAGAAGTACAGAAGCATTGCTTATCACTGTAACTGTCTGCACATTTGGAAATGCAATGGAGTTTGAGAAGGTCTCTCACCAACTGTAGGTCTTGACTGTTGATTTAGCATTATGTGTCCAGGAAGGAGTGCTGATGGTTTCTTCAGAGATTTCTTACACCGCACCAAGGAAACAGGAATACCATTGGGCAGTCTTTCAATTTGCTGAGGACAAACGCTAATAACGTATCTCATCTCTAAGGCCTAACATTGCATTAATGTTGGAAATGCATTACATAAAGACATACTTGTTTGAATCCAATTTGGGGGGGAAAAAAAACTTCATGTGGTCTCACAGCTTCTCCAAGAACATAATGCAGAAGTGACAGCAGATGAGAAAAAGTACTGATCTTTCTTAGTGGCTGATGTTAAGAAGGGCCTGACAATGCTGAATAGCAAGTATCCATCACAGATCTGTGGGATGCAGAAAACTGATGACTTTTTTTTTTTAATAGGCAGTTTGTAGATGAAGCCATTCATTTCAAAGTGCCAATACAACTTTTCAGCACTCTCCTGCCAAGCGTCTTTCATTGCTCGGGCATACTACTTCAATATAAAATGAAAAAAAAGGATATGGAAATCGGTAACATCAGGAATCATTACTATATTCTGAAAGCTTACGGAAAATAATTACAGAGGTTTACTATTCCGTCTGATCTTTATCACTAGTGGACAACGGCATGAGAAAGGAGGGGAATGAAAAATAAGTGCCAGTGGTATGAAGAAACACATTTCCATTCAGTTTCAATTTTCCTCTGTGACACTCAGCCTGTCATTATTTTCTTTGCACTGCCCAAAAATTATTTTTTCTAATAATTGGTGAGCCACAGAAGACTATCAAAACTGACTAATCTCAGTTTTAAAGATGATGATCTTCAACAGCTTTACAGCACAGTTCTCTACTGATAAAAATAGAGATTGCCATCCTTCAGTTCATTTGCACTCCATATTCCCCATCTCTCAGAAAAATAATTTGGAGTCTGCGTCTGTCAGCAAACCTACTGTAATAACTTGACTACTCCTTGCTGACGCTGCAGTCTCAGTGAAGGCTCTGCACACTGACTGGACTGTGAAGTTGCGCTGTCATACTATACCTGTTGGCCAATAGCTGTGACCTAGTTCCCGAAGGAGAGGTTAGGTAAATTGCCAAGTCTCCACGTCGAGGGTGAGTAATAGTGATGCGCACAACCACATGCTCCAAGTAGATCACGTGGTGGTTGGGGTTATCTGAGCAGCCGGTGGCTTTGTAAATTGAACGGACAACGCTGTCAGGTCGTATTGTTCTATAATACAAGCATATGAAAACAACATTTTTTGCTTGTTCTGTAAAAAAAGACAATCGAATTACTTTTGCTTAATAGCGAAGGTCAGCGTTGGACAACTACTTCTGAGAAGTCAGTAGCCTATAATCCTTAGTTTTAGCATGTATTTCTTAGCTGAAGCTATCATCATAGGGCAATTACTTTAGTGCAGTCACTGCCAATTATCTGGCTTTCTATTAAGGGCTATACAGACCTGTAAATATGCTAAAAGAGGAGGAGACAACAGCTATAAGCTTTTGGGTCAGAGCATTTTTTGTGGATTAGTGGCCAGCTGAGAATTGTTGGGATTGTTACGGGATCACAGCTGGTCATTCAGTTCCAGGAAATGCCTGGCATATCGATAGACCCTGCTTACGTAATAGCAAGTATTACACATTAATTGTTGCAAACAGTGGGCAAACAGTATCTGACTCAGCTGGTTTAAACTGGCATAGCTTCCTCATAGATTACACTAGTTTTGCACGCAGCCTCTGAAGTATATCTATCAAAACAAAAATGCTCCTTGGTGATTTTAATGCTTTGGAAAGGTGCCTTATGACTGATGCTCCCCCGTATGAACAAAATGTACATGCTGAATTTTCTGACCTCTGGTTCTACAGAGACCCTACCTGAGTAAGCAGAAAGTTGTTTAAGTCTTAGTCTCTGAGCTAGAGACCTTCCTGAGGTTGTCGGCGGAGAGATAATATAAAGTAAGATTTTAATGAAAAGACACTGGACTGCAGTTTTTACTCATTTTACAAGATGACTGCAGCGCACTCAACTCGACATTCTTGTCCTTGGCATCACCTCTACCAGTTTCAATCAATATGCAGCCTAACTTATTCTACACCTGCAAGTTTTGAGGTATTGCTTAAATTAGGGTCTTTTTCCAAGAATTACAGGAAACCGGCAAATGACCTAACATCTCTGAAGGAGAGAGATTCCCAGTTGTAGCTTCCAAAATTAAGCACAATGCAAGGGAGGTGTAAATTATACCCAATTTCTTTCCATAAGTTTATGCCAGCAAGAGTTTTGGCAGCAGGTATTACTTGATTTGCCGATCCGTGTTCTCCACACACACATGCTGTGGAGGGACTGTTGTCCACTTTTCTGCTTCTATCACCATTGCTTCAGCATCCATCAGTCCAAATCCATAGAGGTGGCTCACTGCAAGGTACAAACAGAATGGTTGCAATTATAGCATAAAACCTTGCCTTTCATCATAGAATAATGCCAGAGTTTCATCCTAATGACAACTGCCTCTTTTCTACTTACTTGCTTTGGCTCAAAGCTCACATATCTCCTTGCCAGAAGCAGTAAAGCAGTAAACTGTATCTAGTTTACTCATCGACTCTATTCACTGCTTTATTATAGCAGCAGCTGATGATCAGCATGAATAACACCGCCTTCCATGAGGAAGATGGACTAGAACTGCAGGGTGCACAGTAGCCTCTGATTACTCTTTGCCCACTTGCCTTAATTCAGCCTAGTCCTCTTATATGACACAATGTTGGAAGGTATGAAGCACGAGAGAAGGGCTATGTGTTATTCAAACAATAAACACACCCACCCACACACATCCACACACACAAACACACGTAAATATTGAAGGCAACTGAGTCACTGGACTTATGAAGGAGCAGACTATGCCTTTTATAACTGATGTACTGTCTTCACTTCCTTGAGTGTAAGCAGCATCTGGATGCTTTCCTACTCTTATATGCAGTATGTTTCCCACCATCCAGGCAGACAGCTAGATCCTACATCTCCCTAAATTTGTCTACATGAGGAGGGAGAAAAGCCATCGTTTTTGAAATCTAAGGCTTTAAGGGTAATCTGGTTTTCATGCAGAGCATGTGTCAGAAAGGCTGCTTTCTCTATTTCCTTTGCACATCTGCAGATGAGGGGTGCTGAAGGTGGTGTGGAGAGAGCCCTACCATGCCTGGGCAGCAGGAACTTTTTCAGCTGTGTGGCTGGTGACGTCCGATATTACCTCATGCTGGCACTGCACAGGCAGTGTCACTGAGCATCCACTCTTGGAGGCTAGCATCCCTTTAAGGCTCATTCTTAGATGTTATAGCTAGATGTTAGATACTTTACCCCTACTTGTCTGCCATGCTATGGAGAGCCAACAACTGTCCCCTTATTCCATGCCTCATAATTTAACTTTATGCTAACTGTCTTCTGCTCAAAGAAGTAGAAGGTTTAAGAGCATCATCTTTCCTAGAATACGTGTCAAAGAAGGATTGAACTTCTGCATATATAACAGTTGGACAATGTTAGATATCTCCAACGGATTTGCCGCAATCTCATCTAACTTTCTGATAACTTCAAGAGTACATAACTTGGTGGAACTGTCTCAAGCATTTCAGCAGCTCACAAAGGGTAAAAAGATAACTGCTTTGAATTTCTGTTTAAAGATCAAGTTCAGGAAGAAATGTTTAGTTTGTAAAGAGTTTAGGAATAAGTAGCCTTAAAAAGAGACTCAAAGTTTCACTTACTGATCTGCAAATTAGCTGTGTGTTTTTGGTGGCCGTTCTCGTAAAAACAGAAACTTGCAAATGGATTTTGACGAATTAGAAAGAGCTGCTAACCATGTGGATTTATTGCAACAATTCTGTACCCTTGCTATAATCCTGAGGGGAGGAGGTGAAAGGGAAAAGCTTCAGGAGGGAGGAGATTGGATGACAAGTAACACTTTACAAATAATTCAATTTAACTTGCTACCACAGACGGTGTTACCAGAAAAGCCTCAGAAAAACATAAATGCTATTTTGATCAGTAACGTGACAGGGCATGGTGTAAGTCTTTCCAATTGCACTTTGCAGTGGGTTTGTGAAAGCAGCCTCCATTCACCGCCAAACCAGAATTCAGAGGATTCCATCCAAAAAAACCCCAACCTTGTCAAACAAGCAACAGTTCAAAGCATAAAAATAATCAGTGCTTAAGGACCCCATCTTCCAAACATAACAATATCTGATGCTGTCCGAAACTGAAGAGGGTCCTTCAATGGAAAATCCTGCAAGGCATAATGACTGTGGGATGAACTGTTTTTCTTCCCATTTCCTTCCCCTTCAGCCCCAGACTCAAGTGCACATAGCATGGAAATGTTCATTTGGAGAAAAATAAACATGGCTCTCCTGCCAAATGAGACAGGTACTGTATTCGGAAATAAAACAAAAGGACTAGCATATATGAAGATAACTAAATTCAGCCCTCCCTCAGACTTCTGAAACCTTTTTAATATATTCCACAAAAAAAAAAAAAAAAAGGACAGGGAAAGAAAGCCTCTATTTTTCTATGTGGATGGTGGCAGGGAGAAGAAGGGCAAGAAAGGCTTAGGCAGAGAAACTGTCCATTCTGTAAAGAGGGCTCCTGTGATGGGAAGCTCCCTCGTCATTGATGTTGTCTTACAAAAACAGCATCTTCCAATCAACGCATGTTTATCTGTGCAGTCATCCATTCATTCTTACACTGCTACCAGCGCTCTGATGTTTAAAGTTTTGTTAACAATCATTGGGTCTGCTCTAAAGAACAGTGGGATGAAAGACAGCATCAACTGCCTTGGTCAGTAAGAGTTACTTACTTTACTTACTTTGTATAGCACTGTTTTTTAACAGTGAAGGACTAAATTTGCGCAAACGGAAAAATCTTTAGAGCTAACCCATGGAAAACACATCTCTTCCTCCTGAAAGGAAGCAAGCTGCAGTGGCTTAGTGCTCAGGAAGCATGCTGCATGTTGAACGCATCTGTAGAGCTGAAAGTAGGGTCAAATTTCTCCTCAGTTCACCTTTGCTCACCCAGAAATAAGGGCAGAGGAGCTTCTAACAATGTCACCAAGGCAGGCAGTAAGGTTCTCAGCGAAACTTAACTGGCTTTTAAGCCACTTGACACTAAAAATTTCTGCTCTGATAGGCACATTAAAAAATACAAAGAATAATGTCTACAGAGTGAACCTTCTAACACTGCTATCTCCCGAACTACTTTGAAAAGTGAGGTCTGTTCATTTTTCATGCAGGAGAAAAGTTTACCATCCCAGGATATGGAGTCGTGTTAATTACCCATGACAATTACAACATTTAATCTCTTGCATGCAGAGCAGAGGTGGGAGTAAGAAGTTCTGCACCTGTTGCTTTTTTTTCTAACAGTTGAAACACAAATACCTTTTTCCCTTGAAAGGCAAATCAAAACGTCCTACCAGTCAGGGGTGCTCCTAAAGCTTGCCATGTGGAAAGTTTCCAGACAGTTGACATTTGGCTGTCTGCAGCGTTCGCACTTCAAAGCCCTTGATCCAGTGGGCTGGTTAGCAGCTGCAGGTACTGAGACAGGCCCATCATTTTCAAAGACTAAATAATAGCAATTTGAGAAACCATCACCAAGTTAACAGAAGTAGTCACTCCCCCTGCGTCTCAGAGAAGAAAACAGATTTTGTTTCCTATTGCCTTCAAATTGCGCCCCTTCATCTGCTGTTGCTGCTGTGGGCTCTGTGCTGGGCTGCCTCTCCCAGAGGGTAAAAAAAGACCTTGACAGCATACATAACCACACATATTTCCTCTTGGTGAATATCTGGAACTGCCATTCATCTGTATGTGACTGGTACTGAGCTCATTTCTGCTAACACAAATAGGAAAGCAATATTTGAAAGATACTGATGATTTGCAGGATGAGATAAGGTGATTTCAACTGTCAAGTGCCCCAGGACCCTGCTTGCACATACCCACCTCTGTCCTCTGGATTATCACTGCTCTGAATTAGCACTGTGCTCTATCGCTAGAAATCCCTGAGCATGTTCGAGGGGGTGCAGGGCACCCATTCAGAAATGGGAGGGGAATGTGAGGCTGGTGCAATGTAAGCTGGGGGGCTAAGGGACAGCCTGCTGCTGAAGGGCTGCAAACTGCGACCTCTGAGGGCCCACAGCATCCACTGGCAGAACCGCCCTTGAATCCTCCCTCTGCTCATGCAGCAACATGGACTGACCCACTCCTATTTCTGCAAAATTACAGGCAAGCACAGAGCTGTACAGATACAGGACAAGTTCCAGAGAAAAACTTGCCTCCTGGAACACAAGGTAAATATTGAGTTTTAGCTGATCCCTTTACTCTTCTTATCATTAAAGAAAATAACATTTCTAGAGGCCAAAGTCCATTTATTTATCCCTAGAGCAGTTCCTCTATTAGCCCGGCACGAAATTAAGGCCTGTTCAGCTGCTGCTTAGACTTCCCCAGCTTCTTCTTAATCCCTTTGTTTTTGTCTGAAACTACGACTGAAAATTCAATAACTTTCTTATTTATACACAAAGAGGATGTAAAGCTACCCCAAAATCTAAAGACAGAATATATATATCCCACTTGACTTGACTAAGAGAAATACAAACTGCTGGTATGGATAAATGGTAACACAAAATCATGCAAAACTGGGCCCAAACACTGAAAACACAGCATTTCCAGTGTCTCAGTGCAGCTAAACTCATCTTGCTACGCAGCAGTTTTCATTTCCTGTCATCAGGATGTTCATTAGTAGCTAGATGCTAAGCCTCCCTTGCTATTCTGCTCATCTGACAAAAAACACTGCAGATTATTCTCTCCTCTCAATATTTTGGGGAGCTGAAATTGCTGTACTCTAAAAGCTGCATTGGAAATACAAATATTTCCTGGTTATCTATGATAATTTTGTATACACATAACAAATACTAAAGAGGTAGGAGAGACAAACTGTAATAATTTCAGTGTTTCAAACCAAGAATACACAACTGTGCTAAACAAGATTCAGCTGTTTGCTATGTAAATTGTTATGGCTGTCCATTTACACTACCTTAGCATCTTGCTCCACTCTCATCCAAAATGAGAGCTACAAAATAAGAGTCTGCAATGTCCCTTATATTTTGGTTCTCTTAGATGCTGCCTAGTAAGACTGGAAGACATGCGACTAGCAGATTTTTTATGGATTTTTGGATTGGTCTTCTGTTATTCTAGTCTGTAACTCAGTTTTGTTTGTGTATCTGTGTATGTGCGTGCAGAGAGAAGGAAAGATATTTCTCTAGGAAGTTTTTAATGGTTACATAGCCATCTGTGCCAAAGGACTTAAAAGACATCACTCTGCTAAGTATTTGAGTCTGAGCTTGTTTCCTCAACTGTATTACTGCTGCACGCATTCATCAAGGAGAGGTG